CGCCAACAAAAGTGTATATCGACCTGTCAATTAGGCCTTTAGATTATCATCTCCGAAGTTATATATGACGTGATTATATCCAGGGTTGCCAACCGTTTTCTGAAAAAGAGTATAACTCTATTGGCTGTTGGAGTTTTAGGTGCTGTACTGCTTGAATAGATCTCAGCATACTGTTTTATAGGTTATAGCCATTGTCCATAAATTGAACAAACAACATAAGAATAAGTATTGAATTCGAACCAGTAGGTTAATGCGTTATGCTAAAATACATATTTTTATACAGTTTGGTTTGGACGTTGGACTCAAAATCATTTTGTTCTATATGCTTCAAAATGTACGAAAAATGCTCTGTCCAAAATGTTTAATGAATTACATTTGTTTTTGTAATTTACATACACTTTATTTACCTGCTGGGTTATCAGATATACCAATTCTACATTTTATTTTAAAAATTGGCAACCCTAATTATGTCGCGAGCGTCTTTTTTCCAGAAATTTCTTTTATTTATGAGAGGTCACGATTTTCGCGGCAATCCGCCATCTTTTAAGAAAAGGGCTTCTGATTGGCTGTTGGATTGTATTGGTGTTGATTTATGTGTGTTGTTGGAATTTTTTTCGCGTCAGCTAAATTAGGCATTGTATGTCTTCGTTTAGATATGAATATGTGTTTGTATTAGTGTTTGAGAACGTACCTTTATGTTTTACAAGACGTATTTTTTAATTCATGCCCTTTTATATGCGGTATAACTTTACTTAATTTACCCGAAATTAGGTCAAGGGGCGTCTAATTTATTTATGGAGCTAGCTAGAGCTATTTAGTTGAAAACATTGACAAAAGAAGATTCGAAATATAAAGTTCCATCAATTTTATTTTTATTATCTATTCATGTTACGATTAGTTTCCCAAAAAATCTACAGCCATATTAAACTGTCAAACACCGCGAGGACACCGATGACCGCAACCTATTGTTTTTTAATTGTGTCTATAACGACGGTACTCAACGAGTTAATATGCAAAAGTTGTTTATTTACAACCATGCACATATTTCCTCATGCCAAACATAATTAACTTACAAATTAATCAATTTTAACCAACCCGCACAACTTCCCTAAATAAAAACTTTAAACCATTAATATCAATAACACTTTCGTACTCACATATACCGACACAACATAAATAATGGACAAGATAACTCCATCTTGTTAGAGAGGGATGGTAGATTTTCTTATGCAGGTGTGAGTGAGATGGAAATAGATATATGCAAGTCATGAAGGAATATAATCTGTATCGGTAATGATACGTCAATCAATAAAGGGGGTTCATGTGTTATGGGAAGATTCTTAGAGGCCTGTTACACTAGTACAACTTATTGGTGCGACCAAATCGCAAGATCTACAAAATACCACCGAATGCTTTGAGCAAGGAATCTCAATAGCCCTTCAAGATAAATGGTATAAACTCCAGTTACATCGAATGAATACAAAAATCTATGTATAGTGACGTTCGCGTTGTGTCACTATGCTGCTTATAAATATGAGCCCCTAGCGAGACGCGAAACTAGTCAAGTTCCTCGTCAAACATTTACGTGAATAAGTAGTTAAACTTAATTTTCGGATGTGAGTGTCAATTCTATTTACGCTGATTATTCTACTCATTCGATTAGATTAACATGTGTCATGAGGTTCATAGCATCAGTATAAATAAGTTCTATCAAGTAAACTATATATGAAATCAACTACATCATTATCATCTGTTTTGGTGTCAACTTGATGACGCAACCAAGGTGATTGACGAAGGCAAAATTTATTTATTTATTTATTCAACTAACATTTTATCTTTACAGTTAAACGCTAAATGTGCTTACCTTTACATCTATAACACATAGTAATAATATAATGCACTCCTTGTAAATTCACACTCAACAATCAACCTTACTGTTTGCTCTAATGTCTTTATAGATACCACAGTTGTGCGACTGATCGTGCGACCATCATGCACCAATGTAAAAGGGCCCTTAATGTATCAGAAAAAATATATCTTGCTCCTAATGCATGGATTTAAGATTCTTAGAGAAAGTTCTGTCATGCAAGGAAACGAATTAATTATGTATTAGTCTAATGTGATGTGATGGGTTTTATTTTCATAATGAGATGGATATGATGTTTTGTTAAGCTTAAAGGGGTAAGCAGGTGTGTTTATAGTACTTCTAAGTTTCTTACTAACTCCAAATACACAACTTATCGTTTAAAATTCCATGTAATTGTATATTTTTAAAGGAGATTTGGCGCGTTTTCTGTAGTATCAATTTATACCAATTACTCTCCCCTTCCCCAATCTCCCCAAACCAATCAAACCCACTTAAAAACCCAATAATACTAATCTCCCCAATCCCTGAATCCCCAACGATCCTCAAACTCCTAATCCCCAAAAAGCCGGTAACGCACTTGTAATGCCTCTGGTGTTCCAGGTGTCCATAGTCGACGCCGATTGCTTACCATCAGGTGATCCGTATGCTTGTTTACCGGCTTATGACAAAAAAAAATCTAGTATTACTTGTACCTACTTCATGCGACATGGGAGTCAAACTAGATACATTATATTCATCATGGTATAATCCTACTCATGATAATCTACCAAGTTAAAGTTAACTAAAATACATGTCTAATAACTGTTTAAGTTATTTATTTATTTATTTATTTATTTATCTATTTATGCACAACACACAGACAGTACACAGGAGAACATATATAAATATTTTGGAGGTACATAGGAACTACATATTCCCGAAGGAATCTCTTCCTGCAGTCCTTCGACAGGAAAAACGGTAAAAAAAGAGACACTGTGCGTAACATGACATGAAATGTGTTAAATAAATAGATCACAATAAAATACATAGACCTATACATACATATGATAGATACACATCAAATAATACACATATTAGAGTATATTACAAATAAACATATTATACATATATATATGTATATATGACACTAATTTGAACAAGATGAGGAAAGGTAGTGCTCCCTTACGAGTCTTTTAAAGATTGGGATGGATTTAGAATCACGGATATTAGGTGGTAGGGAATTCCAAAGTCGCACTGCATGAACAGTGAAGGAATAGGTGTAAAAATCAGTATTGTGTGAGACAACAGTTAGTTAAGTTATAGTCCGCTGATTTAACACGTTTGGACTAAGATTAAAGTTACCGTGGTGATGCGCTTAACGCTTACTTACAGGTTTAAGTTATCAGGACTTAAACTTAGAAGTTTAGTTTAGGTGTTTGTGAGAGGTAACTTTACGTTTTGCGTTTTGGTTGCGTAAATGTAATACGTTGTAAGCAATGATTCGTGAAGTCAAAGATATCTTCTAAAAAAAAAACTATCAGCCGAACATAGTACCTCCTCCTTTTTTTGAAGTTGGTAAAAATGACAAGTTAACTGTTTTCCTCTGTGTACTTATTTTGATTGTGTCACAGGTTTGCCATAAAGTAGTTTCCTAAATTTTATTTTAATTTCCGTCTGGTACATTAATTTAAAACATTAGACACGTATTTTTTTCTTTTGTCCCAAATTAAATACTTTTGACGATGTATTTAATTTGAAATATCGTGTGACGTCACAGCGTGCCACATTTTGTAGCACGTTATGACGTAACGACCTCCCACTCCTAAACTTAGCGCCATTTTATCTAAGTATTGCAACTTAATACGAGAAAATAAAAAAACGTGTCTAATATTTTTTCATTATCTATCTGGCGGACTAATTAGATTTTAATTTTGATACCCTGGAAACTACCCAATTATCAGAATTAAAAGTATTCAGTGCACAATAGTATGGCGTTGTATATAGCCCTAATATGAAATGAAATGAAAAGAGTTTCATTCGGCATACGGCATGAATGCAAGGAACAAAAAATAACAATATATAAAAGTTTAATGCAAGAGAGTGAGAATAAAAGAGTAGAGAAAAGATAAAAGGTAAATTATAAAACTAGAAGATAATAAAACTATTCTTTTTTTTCTAGACTCCGCTACTACTGAGTTTTTTTTAAAAACCCAGTAATACTTTGCTCGACCCGGGAATCGAACCCGAGACCTTTGCCCGGCAGTTACACTCGCGACCACTCGGCCAACGAGACAGTCG